GGGTCAGGTGTCACTTGAATGTTTTGATCTTAATTAGTTAAAGTGTTATGCCTGCTGTTGACAAAAGATAGAGTATAAGATGAAGCAACAATTTATATACATAAAAGAATAAAATAAAGCAAATTACATATGAAAAAATAACTTGTAGATAGACCTATTTCTTGAAGACGGACGTTCACCAATAGATTCCCATTCTGACTCCATTGTAGAGGCAATATATACAACAATTTTCGAAGATTCCCCTCCCAATATAACAGATACATCTACATCATCACTTACATCAATTAAATCGAGCCCACTAAAAAGACTTGTGTTGTGGTACATAATAGCTAATTTGTTTGGATCACACATTGTTAAATTATCAAAATGACTTTTTAGTTCTTCCAAAGAACTAGTTCTATTATACTTTGTAACCTTCAATTTTCCCCCTTTGTAAAAGATACCTTTGTCATTTGCATTCGTCTCAAATGACCCCCCATATCGGAATACCAGTTGTACTCCCTCAATAAGCATCGTCAATGCTACTGTATTAAATGAATAACATAATTTGTATTACAATAAATTGATACAATAAAGAATACCATAAATTTGGATATTTCTAACTACTTTAGGGTTCATAAAATGTGAGTATTATATAACAAATTGAAATAGTGTACTACTATAAAAATAAAAATAATCAATAAACAACAAAAATAACAACTGCTCGAAATAATTAATTGTAACAAAATTAACAAACGGCTCTATTAATTGTAAGAAAATTAACAAAAAATGATCAACAACATAAAGCAAGAGTAAGAACAGTATCAATCACGACCGTGAGCCAATATCGTGAGATACTGTATTGCGGTAAAGTAAAAAAGGTATGATCCACGTATGATAATGTATTTAGCTTGTTTTCCCTCAACTTTATATATATATATATAATTTCTTACACTAAAAGCGGGAAAAATAGGCGCGAATATTTTTGGTTAATCAAAAACCAAAATCCACAACATTTCGGTTGTTGAAAAACAGAAATCAAAATTTCGATTTTTGAACAACCGAAGAACCTAATTTCAATTGTTAGGGAGAGCAATTGACATTTTCGGTTATTCAACACCCGAAAACGCTAATTTTGGTTGTTGAACAACCGAAACCAACGCGGGGAGGGTTAAAGCAGCTATTCTCATTTTCAGTTGTTGAACAACCAAATTTTTTTTGAATTTGGTTCTTCAACACTCGAAAATGAGTAAAGTGGTATTTTTTTTAAAAAATGTGGTTATGAAAGGGAAAAAACGGACATCCTTGTATTGACCGAAACTCAAAGCTGTATCCGTAATAACGCATATTATAACAGATATTAACGTAATTTTATCAAGATTTTATGCTCCCTTAGTATGGTTGAGAATGAGTCGGATTTGGTTCGGATCCACCAAGATCCAGATTCAGATCCAAAAAATATACATGGGATCTGGATCCGGACCATATCGGATCCAAAAAGCACACATGGATCTAGATCCAGACCCAATCGGATAAAAAATATATATTTTATATCTATAAAATAATATATAACAAAAAATACTATATATATATATAATATTTAATAACTGGGTTAGATCCGTTTATACTAAGATCCACTCTAAATTACTATTTGGATCCATACCCAGATCCGGATAGGATCTAACATTCGGATTTTGGATCCAAACGAAGTGAATTCCCAGCCTTCTCCTTTAGCAGCATTTCCACCATTCCCTCTCCTTCAAGTAGAATTCATTCTGAGAGTAATTTGGCACTAGAAACTTTTAGTGATGTAACCTCTTCGATCTGGCGATCAACCAAAAAAGAAAAAAAATCAAACGCACTCTATGTCAAAAAAGATAAAAGATGTAAGACTGAACATAAACCTTTTATTTTTTTTGGTGAAAAATAATAATCCTTAAGTGAGTCCCAAAATTTCATATCGAGAAAATTGCTTTTGATTAGGACAATATAGGATGGAATTTCTATAAGGCCTAGGCTTTGTGCAAACAAAATCAAGCTTCCCTTCAAATTCTCGTCCGGAAAACACTTTCGGCAACGGAAATCTCTGTGATGACTCTAAAATTAATTCCCAGCACCGATAATAAAATTTGAGACTAAAAATATGTAGAAATCTTGTGGATCTTTGAACACTTGTTTTTTAGGGAGAAACATACGGTTTAGATAGTTTGTTACAGTTTTTTTCACAACCATAATGTTCAAATTGCAATTTTCAATGAATTTTAAGGTGCCTTATCAAACTATTTTCCATATGTATATAAAGTTCTATATGTTTTTTGTGCGTTTATATTACCGTGCACACACGTGTGTATTTTTTTTCAAGCATAAGAGCATGAAATGTGTGCAGATTCGCATACTTAAGTATTGGAAAAGTTTACTATAGGATTGTATATTTTTGTATGGAAAGAACTGGAATCATCTGATACTGTTAGATATGAAATCAGGCAACTACTGATGGTGTATCATTGACCATGCTCCAAGTATGGGAGGACGTTCCTTGTGGAATGACACGCCCCAATCATCCGATCCTACATCTCAAGGTTCAGTGTATTTTTTTTACCTGTGTGTGTAAAAGATAGTGGTCTTTTTTTTTTTTCTTGTTTTTTGGTTTTTTTGGTAGATCAGTGGGGAATACAAGCCCAACCCATTTTTAGAAATAATTAGTGGTTTTCAAATGTGTCCGTGGGAATGGAGTTGAGGTCGTGGTGGTTTTCTAATTGTCTCCCCTTGAAAACGTACATTGTAGTATGTATTATAGTTTAATTTACACAAATACCAACACGCAAATACACACATACGCTTATGTGCTTTTACCTGCGCACAAACATATATGCGCATGAACCCACTAGATACTGCTCCATAAGTGACAATGCTTAGCAACAACTCTTTATGCATCACCTAAAAACGCACATCATCATCATAATAACTTTTTTTCAATCAGCTTCATGATAAGTTTTAGTAAAGTTTTACGTTAACTACCTATCTAACACAAACAAACCCTCTTACCTGGACATGGATCGGATTAAGGAAAAGTTTAAGATACTCACCCTTCTTAGACCATCCTAAAAACGCACATAGCCCAATGTTTTTTGGAAAAAGAACTCTTCAAGGGTGTCAGATAAGAGAAAGCTTTCTATGTTCCTCCAACAACATAGAAGTTCTATCCTCCCTCTACCATCCAGCCATCCCATTTCTATGGAGAGAGCCGCTTACTGTTTGATCTTAGATCCGACGTCTCAAAGTATTTTATTTGTAGTTTTTTTAATACACTTTTTTTCAATATTAAATTTGGTACATGCCATCTTCTCAGTGGGGCACACCTATAAAAAATATTAATTATAATTTTTTGATAAAAAATAATGATCACAATACCCCTTGAAACTTTCATCAAAATTTTGATCATTTTATTTTATTGAAAATATTTTTTTATATTTTTCGTTAGTGAGAGTTTAATAGAAGAATAGACATCCAAAATTTAGTGTCAAAATAATTTATAGAAAAAAATTTAAAAATAAAATAATGTAAATACGTGATATTGTGATTGGGATAATCTTAACACTCCATTTAAAATGGGACGGTTGAATAAAAAAGAGGATAGAACTTCTATGTTGTAAGAAGAACATAGACAGCTTTCCCATCAAATAAATACGCTCCAACACCATAAACTATACAAATCAATCAAACGATCACTTATTTGGAGAGAGGAAAATAAATAAAACCCTAAAAGTGATCTATCTTGTAATTCTTTTTTATTTTAATCATCAATTTCACCAAACTTGCTCTATTTTTAAAGCTTCAAAGCACCAAACTTGCACTATTTTTGAAGCTCCAAAGTTTATAGTTCAAACATAAATCAGTTTCAAAGCTATGAAAAGTTTTCTTGACGTCTTTCCAGCAAAGGCATTGATGTGCAACTATATATAACCACCTTCTTTTAAATTAACTTTTCAAATTTAAAACCATAGCTTGATACAAATTGTACATAAATATTTAATGCCCCAGGCAAAATACCTAAGCAGGATTTAATTTAATATGAAATTTCAAAATCCACTTAAGAATTACCCATAAAGCGAATTTAAGATACTTATATCTAAACATATAAAAACTCAGTATTTCAATTCATTTTTAGGATGATATTTTTCAGATAGAGTGCTTATCACTTTTATTTATTAATTTATTTATTTAACGTTAATAGCTTGATTGGGAAAGTTACATCTCAAATTTGAGTCCCACAAAACTCCTAAAGTTTGTCCCTTAAAAAGTAAATGTAATCATAGTCCCACAGGAGCACATAATCTTTTCACTATTCTCTAAGAACAAATCGTATTGGACCCTTTTTAAGAATTATATGGTAAAATTAAAAAATCTCACCATGTAACATTCATTTAATAATCTTTAAAATGAATTTGTTTTCGTTGATAAAAGTGCCAAGAACTATGTTTAAAGCATGTTAGTGTCCAAGGAAGATCCACATTTGTTCACCCAAATTGGCTAGAAAACAAAGTAAATTTAGATTTTATCAAAATACTTGTAAGAGATGGAGCATTCAGCATTTCATCCATTTGCGACTATTCTAATTCATGTTGAATGTATTTTGACATGCATATTTACAAACAAATCAAAAAATAGAAAAAATATTAAATAGTTCTCCCATGAGAGTTTAAATAAATAACCTGTTAATTTTTGGTACACACTTCAACTATTGACCACCATCAATGAAAACAAAATTAGATGGTCCGCTGGAATTTAGATAGTCTATTGGGCTATACAGTCTAACGGACCAAAGGTCACCAAATTACCATCTTCAAAGCCAGAGAAAGACTAAAAGGAAAAGGAAAAATAAGGGATGACTTCAAAGCAAAAAGGCCAAAAAAGTGTTTCAAAACCTGGAATCGAGCTTTGGATACACTCTACCTACTATACAAAACTGGATCAGCTGAATCTGTGATCCATCAAACTGAGCCATTGATCAAAAGTATCTATGATCTAAATCATCAAAGAAACATAAATTTTCATACAAATATGCTTCCTAAATCAAGATTGGAGCAATATGCACCTCCCGTGGGAATCTGTCCGATTGGTTACCGAAACCCATTCGGACTGCAATTTTACAAAACACCAGAAAAAAACTCTCACAAAAATTTATAATATCAAGAGCTAAAAAACGCAGCATTGCTAAATTGCTACAATAAAGCTACATCCTGGGGTCGAAGAACACATCATTGAGAGGGAGAGATGAACCACATCAATGGAACCTTAGGGCACATTATTGAGAAAGAGATGAACTAAATAAATGGAATCATAGGGCACAGCCTAGAGAGAGAGATAAAATACATCAATGAAACCATAGGGCACAGCATTGAGAAAGAGAGAGAGAGAGAGAAAGCGAGAGAACGAAGCCACTTCCAGTCAACTCAATTGCATTTGGCAAAGGTGAATCCAGCCATTGTCCATCTTGAAACTCCCTACTAAAAGTGCACATCATCTGTTCTCTAACTTTCATATTCTAATCCTCCTTGCACATAGCTGATAGAAAAAAACATGCATGATTTCCAATTACGTGAGAATTACAAATTAAAACAAAATACCTGAGGCACATCCGTAGCCTCTATCTATGATTCTCAATCCATAACCTCTCTCTCTCTCTCTCTCTCTCTCTCTCTCTCTCTCTTCCTTACTCTTACTTACTTTACTTTATTTACTTTACTTTACTTTACTTTACTTATTTACTTTATTTAGTTTATTTATTTTAGTTTATTTAGTTTAGTT